AGTGAACCAAACTTTGACACTAGCAAGGATTTCAAACCACAAAATGAGCCAAAATGAATTGCCAAAGACCTCCAGTTAAAGATCACCCTAACCTACCCGGCGCCTCCAGAACCGCAGGGAACACGACTGGTTTACTGCACAAAACTAATGTATTGGACGCCAGCCCACCCAACAGCAGGTGTGTTTTCCTGATCAGCACTATATTCAGGATATGAATGATTTTAGGATTCGTTGCTTACAATCAGCATTTAGCCAATAATTCTGTAATGTCAAAGCTAAAGTGGTGATGAGGTGTTAAAGTGTATCAAAATAGTCTTTAAAAAGGTCTTAAAAGGTATTAAATTTCACTCCCTAATTGTTTTTTTTTACATCATACTAATGCACACATTGAGGAAAGAATTGAATTTGGTGGAAGCAGACTATGCTTTGACCTTAGCAAGGGTTTTGAAACACAAAATGAACCGAGCCAAAAAGCTAGAGATCTCCAGCTAACCTAGCCGGCGCCTCCAGAACTGCAGGGAATGCGACTAGTTTACCGTACAATGGTGTATTGGACACCAGCCCACCCAACAGCAGGTGTGTTTTCCTGATCAGCACTATATTCAGCATAAGAATGATGTTTTAGTTTATGATTCGTTCCTGACAATCAGTATTTAGTGAATATTCTGTAAGTTCAAATGTCGCCAGTGTTACCGGTTGAAGTGGTGATGAGGTGTTGAAGTGTATGGAACGCGTCTTAAAAAAGGTCTTAAAAGATATTGAGTTTCACTCACTGATTTGTGTATATACCATGGCAATGCACACATAGAGGAAAGAAGCGGATGTGGTAGAAGCATACAAAGCTTTAATTAAGGATTTTGAACCACAAAGTGAAAGATCACCCAAACCGGCGCCTGCAGAATCATCGGGTTTACCATACAAAGATGTATTGGACGCCAGCCCACCCAACAGCAGGTGCGTTTTCCTGATCAGGCCATCCTAACCTCTCCAGCACCGAGCTGCTCTTTACTCATAAAGAAGGAAAGTGATCTCGTGGGCATCCTGAGCAGGATCGCAGACCGCCAGGCCTTTGAGGAAGAAACAAACCCGCTCTGACGCGCTTCGGCCGGCTCTCCCTCTTGTTTTGTCTCTCTCTCTGTTTGTTAATAGCGCTGTAGTTTGTCCTGCGGGCCGTGCGAGGGCTAAAGGCAGCGTTCCCTCACTTCAGAGCGCTTCTGCGGGTCGACGGGTCGGATTCGCAGATGTCTCCCGCAGACAGTCGGTCGTCTGAGGACCGCGGCCCAGCGAGAAACACTCAATGCTGGCCTGACCCCGCAACACCGCTAAACACAACATGCCTTTTCTTCTCCATCTCTCTCGCTCGCCTTGTTTGGTTTTGTGCTTTGTCTACTCTGGTGTTTTCCCTCATGACTAGTAAAGCTTTTCCACTGGAGGATGTCGAATGTGGAAAAGCGGCTGCTATCGCGAAACGCCATTGTTTGGTATTACATTGCAGACGTCTCTGCTTAAACTTCCTGCAATTGTTTTTAAGAGGTTAAGTCATCGTAGGCTGAAGGGACAAGGGAAGATGCTTTCTAGAAGAAGATGGAAACAGCGGACACGACAGAATTTGTTCATAATGAGAACTGCTGCGCTATCGCAATTAAAATCGAGAAATCCCATGGGGAGCGCGCATCTGAGGAGCGAGGGGAGAAAAAGGAAATTAACTCCTTAATTCACGATCAGGGCACACACAAAGATCAGACATGATCAGCCAGGTCAGTAAAGTTGCAAACTATGAAACACCCACTCAATTCCCCGCCTCGCAGTTTATTTTGTTACACTAAGAAATCCATTTCAAGGGTGCATAAGATCAGAGGAAATGAAGAGAGGAGGCAGCGTTTACCATTCATCAGCCTTAAAACATGGCAAGTGTGTAACTGGAGCTACCTGAACAGCCCGCGAGTCAGTGCTTGAACAGCAGCCTCGTTTCCTCATCCTTTTTTAATGGTGTGTGTGTGTGTGTGTGTGTGTGTGTGTGTGTCTACAGCCTCCATTCTGAAATTGATCACATTCTAAATGAATTATCATGATGCATAATGAGCGTTATCTCGGCCTCCTCCCTGAAGCCCGCAGCCCTGCGTGGCACGTTGATTTGTTTTGTTGCACATTAGCCTCCGTTCTTCTAGAGAGCTCACCGCTCCAGGCGTGCAAATAAGAAATTATCCTTGCTGACTAACACTCCTAATACCTCCTTAGGGTAATTAGAAATTATTAGACGGCTGCCTCCAATAACGACAGCTAATAGCACTAAACGCCGTCAAAATTCCTCCACCGACAGGACGGCGAACAGGACGGACAAACGGACCGGAGCTCTTCCCCGATACGCTCCCCGGTGCTCGACGACTCATTATGGCACACGAGGGAGTGGAAATCAGACTATAAAATGAGCTTATCTGCAATAATGCCCAAAAAGATTTGCATAAATACGTTAGCCGTGCTTGGGAAGGCAGCATCTTTTTTTTTTCATCCGCCCACTCACTCGTTCCAGAGATACCTGTAGGGCATCGGTGCGGTGACGCGCTTCAGAGACCACACCGCCCAGCACTAGCCCTCCACCAGCTTTTTTAGGGGGAAAGGAGGAGGTGGTGGGCTGGATTAACACGTCCACAAACACAATGGATCTTTTACACAAGAAGTTTAACGGTCATCAGCATCTCAAATCCTTTCGTATTTAGAAACAATATTAATCCAACCCTGCACTTTTCCCAGTGGCTGAGATGCAGTTCTTCAGACCTCAGCAACCCATCGCCAGCACAGAAACAAGGGTCAGAGTCTGATGAGAGCCGTCCGGGGAAAACATCGCTGGAGACTAGTGTGTGATGGGATTATCACCTCTTAAGGGTGACTTCTTGGCTGACCCCCTCAGGCACAGCGTGCTAAAACAAGAGCCTGGAAAACACTCTGCAGTGTTGTTTAAAGGGCCAGCGCAGTGCAGATCAAGCTACTAGAAGTAAGCAGGCATGTACGGTATTCTTCCATTCATTCTATTTCTACTCTGTCCAGGAGGTTTAGTGCACTTATATTTTCTATTATTATTATTATTATTATTATTATTATTATTAATAATAATAATAATAATAATAATAATAATAATAATAATAATAATAAATAATAATAGTAATAATAAATATAATAATGATAATAATAATAATAAAAAATATCTAAATATAAAAAAGATAACAAAAATAAAGGTAAAAATATATATAATAATAATAATAATAATAATAATAATAAATAATAATAATAAATAAAATAATAATAATAATATTAAAAAATTATAATAATGAAAATAATTATAATAATAATGAACAGAATAATAATAAAAATAATATAAAAATATTAATAATAAATAATAGTAATAATAAAAATAAAAGTAAAATATATATATAAATATAATAATAATAATAAATAAAATTATAAATATAATAAAAATAATAATAATAATAGTAAAAAATTATAATAATAATAAAAAATAATAATAAACAGAATAATAATAAAAATAATATAAAAAATAAGAAATAATAATAATAACAATAATACTAACAATAACAATATTTGTATTAATGATAATAATAAATAAATATATTAATATATTATAAATAGAATAATAATAGAAAATAAAAAGAATAATAATAAAGAATAATAATAAAAAAATAATAAAAATGATAATAGTAAAAAAATAATAATGAAAATGATAATGATGATAATAATAATAACAATAATAATGATGATAATAAATAAAAAAATAAATATAAAATTATAACAAATAGAACAATAAAAAGAAAAATAATAATAATAAAATAATAAAAAATAATATTAATGAAAATAATAATATTAAAAATAATAATAATATTTATAATAATATAACAATAATAATAGTAATATATAGTAATAATAATAATAATAATAATAATATTAATACATTCTTATTTTATGTTGCACATTTAATCGAAGCATCTCAAAGTGCTTTACAAACATATAAAAAGTATAGAGCTCAAAGATAAAGAAGAGCTCACAGTATAGAGCTACTCAAATATGAACTGTTATAAAGTATGAACATAATCTACATCACTTATCCAACCCAACAACTACCTTAATAACTATTAATAAGCAGATAATTAGCAGTGTATTAAGTTAAAAGTCTGAGTTATTGGCTTGTTAATAGCAGGAATTCTACATTAAAATAACGAGTGACTGATCTCTTCTTTTCTATAAAGTGGAACAGAGCAGCAGATTCCTGCACACTATTATGTTGAAACCTGTCAGCCGAGCAGGAAATGTGTGTGTGACCGAACGACACTGAACACACTCATGTGTGTAGAGATAAATGATGGACCGATGGCTTCATTAACTCATTAACACTGGACCGACACGCTCCTGTCATCAGTTAGCAGTGGTTTCACACACACACAGACTGACGAGCGATCCTTGTGGAATGACTGCTGTATACAATGCAATATATACAATACAACACAATGATCATTTTAATATTACCTGCTTCACTACATCTGTGAGAACATTTTAAAAAGATTTGACCCACAATAGTACAGAAAAACACACACACACACACACACACACACACACTCACATTATGATAGCATTATGCACGGTATCACACATACACTAATGTTATCATAATGTGTGTGTGTCTGCTCTCCACAAACCAACACAAGAGTTAAAGCTTGTTACCTGTCTGTCTCTCTCTCTCTCTCACACACACACACACACACACACACATTCCAGCGCTGTAATAAATGCGTTCTTTGAGCAGGGAGAGCGTGTAGAGAGTGTGTTGTGAGTGAACAAGCGCTCCGAGCACAGAGCGTGAACATAATTGCAAGAATGTGAGAAATGAGGCGTCTGTTCTGCTGGCTGGGGTCAAAGGTCACAGGACGCTGCAGGACGCTGCATTACTGCACCTCATGCCTCTGCCTCCTTATCACCCATGGCCTGTCTCACTCTCTCTGTCCTGTCTCACTGGATCCTGTATTGTTTCATTCTCTGTCCTGTCTCACTCATTTCCTTTCCTCTTATTGATTTTCTCCTGTTTTACTTCTTCCTCTCTGACCTGTCTCACTCTCTGTATCATTTCATTATCTGACCTGTCTCACTCTCTGTATTGTTTCATTATCTGTTCTGTCTCACTCTTTTAGTTCTGTCTCACTCTCGGTATTGTTTTTAATCTCTGTCCTGTCTCATACTTCCAGTTCTGTCTCTCTTATTAACTCGTATTTTTTTCTCCTCGATTACTTCTTTTTCTGTCCTGTCTCACTCTTTTGATCCTGTCTCACTCTCTGTATTGTCTCACTCTCTGTGCTGTCTCACTCTTTAGATCCTGTCTCACCTTCTGTATTGTCTCAATCTCTGTGCTGTCTCACTCTTTAGATCCTGTCTCACTCTCTGTATTGTCTCACTCTCTGTGCTGTCTCACTCTTTAGATCCTGTCTCACCTTCTGTATTGTCTCAATCTCTGTGCTGTCTCACTCTTTAGATCCTGTCTCACTCTCTGTATTGTCTCACTCTCTGTGCTGTCTCACTCTTTAGATCCTGTCTCACTCTCTGTATTGTCTCACTCTCTGTGCTGTCTCACTCTTTAGGTCCTGTCTCACCTTCTGTATTGTCTCACTCTCTGTGCTGTCTCACTCTTTAGATCCTGTCTCACTCTCTGTATTGTCTCACTCTCTGTGCTGTCTCACTCTTTAGATCCTGTCTCACCTTCTGTATTGTCTCACTCTCTGTGCTGTCTCACTCTTTAGATCCTGTCTCACTCTTCATATTGTCTCACTCTCTGTGCTGTCTCACTCTTTCGATCCTGTCTCACCTTCTGTATTGTCTCACTCTCTGTGCTGTCTCACTCTTTAGATCCTGTCTCACTCTCTGTATTGTCTCACTCTCTGTGCTGTCTCACTCTTTAGATCCTGTCTCACTCTCTGTATTGTCTCACACTTTAGATCCTGTTAGAACCTGTCTCACTCTCTGTATTGTCTCACTCTTTAGATCCTGTCTCACTCTCTGTATTGTCGCACTCTTCAGATCCTGTCTCACTCTCTGTATTGTTTCATTCCTCGTCCTGTCTCACTCTCTGTGTTGTTTCATCCTCTGTCCTGTCTCACTCTTTTAATTCTCTGTCACTCTTTCTGTTTTTTTTTTCTCTTGTACTTTTTTCTCTGTCCCGTCTCACTCTTTTTATTCCTATCTTACTGGTCCTACCAGTTCCTGTCTTACTCTCTGTATTGTTTTATTCTCTGTCCTGTCTGACTCTTCTGTCTCACTCTCTCTTTTTCCCCCTTCAGTAACTTCTTTCTTTATCCTGTCTCACTCTTTCTGTATTTTTAAATTCCCTGTACTGTCTCACTCTTTTGGTCCTCTTTTCATCCTCTGTCCTGGTCCTGTCTCATTTGTTTCTCCTTCTCGGTTACTTCATTCTCTCCCTCTCTCTATGTTTCTCCAGTCTGTGTTTGGATTGGTTTGGGCCGGAGCTTGACCGGATCACTTCTAGGCAGTTCCGTATGTCGTACCGTAAGTGTGTTAGCCTGTATCGACCGGCCGTTACTGGATCCAGTGTGAGAGAGTCAATAACTGCAGTGCTCACTGGTACTTATGACTTCAACATGATCAATAATACTTATTTCCCTCTTGCTCTACATCACAGACAGCTGCTTAATGCACAACACATTATATCAAATTAAATTAAATTAAATTAAATTAAATTATATTATATTATATTATATTATATTTTATTTTATATTATATTATATTATATTATATTATATTATATTATATTAAATTATATTAAATTATATTATATTATATTATATAAAATCAAAATATATTTTAATAATATATCATATTGTATTTTATTAATA